ACACAGGCACGGACGCAGGTATACAGGTACAGACACAGGTACACAGGCACGGATGGAAGTATACAGGTACAGACACAGGTACACAGGCACGGACGCAGGTATACAGGTACAGACACAGGTACACAGGCACGGATGGAAGTATACAGGTACAGACACAGGTACACAGGCACGGACGCAGGTATACAGGTACAGACACAGGTACACAGGCACGGATGGAAGTATACAGGTACAGACACAGGTACACAGGCACGGACGCAGGTATACAGGTACAGACGCAGGTACACAGGCACGGACGCAGGTATACAGGTACAGACACAGACACAGAGACACAGGCATGGACGCAAGTATACAGGTACAGACACAGGTACACAGGCACGGATGGAAGTATACAGGTACAGACACAGGCACGGACGCAGGTATACAGGCACAGGTATACAGGTACAGACACAGGTACATAGGCACAGGTATGCCAGCACAGGCTCAGGTGCAGGCAGGAAACAGAAGCAAACACAATGACTGGCCAAGGAACAGGCCAATGGCAGGCTCTTACATTCTCAGATAATGATGGCATTACCAGGGACTGGTTTGGGCCGTTACTGGTTACTAAAGTTGGCACGATATCATTTTTTCTGCTCCTGTCCCAATATTAAAATTTTGAGTTTTGAGTTGCAGATTTCAATATCAATCTGATAGTTTTTCCTCTTAATCAACTACTCACCATTAAATTAGGTATTTGTATCAATACATTTCATTTAACATGGTAAACTATCTGCATTTAGTGCTAACAATAGGAAAATATAATGATCATGTTGCTCAAACAAAAGCTATGGCAGAAATATATGGCCAATATGATATATGCAATTCTAACAACAATCAACAGAAATATTTCTTTAAAACTATGCAATCTGTTGGCAAATTAAATATAATAATGAAATCAATAATAAAAATATCACTGTACACCCCAACTAACCATTTCTAGTCAAAAAGTACACATAAGTCTCCAGTGCAAAATGTACAATGGAGCACAGATAAAGCTTTTAAGTAGTAATCAAACTGTAGAAAGAATATAAGTCTGAAGATGTATCACTTGTATAAATGCTACTGTGTTCAGACATAAGGAAATCTAACCTTACATACACTGCACTCTGCAGTTTTGCTTTTTTCCCTTCAGTTACGTTCCACACAGCCACATGCATTACTGAACTAGCCATTATTACTAGCCAACAATTGCTGATGAAGGTGAAGACTATTGGGACTCCATACTTTGGAGCGATGAGACAAAGGTAAATCATTTTGGAGAATTGCACTTCACTGATGGCATCATGAATTCACAGATGTACTGTGAAGTACAGAAAGAGAAGATGCTGCCAAATCTCCATGCCCTTGGTGGCCGGACACTCTTTCAACATGACAATGACCCAAAACAAACATCCAAGGCCACTGCTGCATTTCTGAGGAAGAACAGGCTGGCAGTGATTCTGTGGTCAAGCATATCAGCTGACCTCAACCCAAAGGGCACCTGTGGGGAGTTCTGGAAGGACAGGCTGAGCGTCATTATCGATCCAGCATCCAGGTTCTGGGAGGACAGGCTGAGCGTCATTATCGATCCAGCATCCAGGTTCTGGAAGGACAGGCTGAGCGTCATTATCGATCCAGCATCCAGGTTCTGGAAGGACAGGCTGAACGTCATTATCCATCCAGCATCCAGGTTCTGGAAGAGCTCATTCTCCAATAATAGAGAAAGATAGACGTGGCAGTATATTGCCAACTTGTACATTCCTCATCTAGAAGAGTTGGTGCTGTTCTTAAAAATAATGGAGGCCATACAAAATATTAAATTTGGTCGAATTTGTTGTAAGGTGTATCCATTTTTGCAACACTTAATTTGAATACAGTTTATTTTCTTATCCTAATGATGTTGGTGACCAAGATTTTATGTTGTTAATGAAACAAATGTTTAACAAAACTTAGTTTTGTCAACAATCTGCTAATTGTTCTAGTGTTCACTGAGAAATTGATAAAAGTCTTAATTTTCAAAGAGGGTGTACTCATTTATGCTGGGTACTGTAAATACGTAGCTATGTTTAGCTGCACATACTGTATACACATGATTTATCCGCGCCGTATCTACTCCAAGCCGCTAGATGGCGACATGCGTATCGATAATCATCAGTGACTCGCAAAATCTGAAGAGGACGAAAGAGCTTCATTCGTTTACTTTCGTTTAGGCTGCCGGTGAAATGGGCATTGAGCGGCGAAGTTAATGGTACTTTTTTGCTCGTAACGAATCGTTTTAAGTCGGACGTTGATTGTATGTCACGGCCCAATTATGAGCACGGCACCTTGCATATGCTCTGACATTTTATTCGTATTTACAGATGATTTAATTAGTAGCTGTATTTTTATACTTTCATGATGAAAGAAATGGGCGCAGTGATGTTAGCTATGCGTAAATGCGGCGCCGGTCTTCGGCGCTGTTTGCCCTGGTCACGCTACATCTTGCGCTATATGAGCGCGGGCATGACCGGGCGTAAGATCCCA